CAACTCATAGCGGCTCTACAGCGACCTCATGAGAGAGATGCTTAGGAGAGGGCAATTTTGGTGCACATCATGCTCAGGAAAATATAAAGTGGCTGGCCAAGGGATTTTTCTGGAAGGAATCAGGATCTTGAGACAAGCTACCAGAATTTTGTGAGGTTATGGAATTTTGTAACTTTCCTTATATATATTTTTTCTCATCTCCTAATAATGTTTAGCAACAAAATCTTAAATGAAAAACACCCTTTAACTCATTCAACAAGTATTTATAGACGACCTACCATCTGTTAGGCAGGGTGTTAGGGTGATGGTGTACAAGTCTCTGCTCTCCTGAGGTTACAGTTGTCTTCCAGAGCGCAAGGAAGGGAAGTCTCTGGGGAGAAGGGCCTCGGGGCTGGCAGCTCTGAAGGAGAGGAAAACTGGCTGAGCCCTCAGTTAAGGGGGAAGGAGTGACAAGCAGCAAGGAAGGTGGGCAGTAGAGAGGCCTGGAGGGGTCCCGGATGATGGACACCAAGAAGGGCCTGCAGACAGGGACTGAGAACTGGTGGAGACCAGGGCGGTGTGGCCCAAGAAGGCACACCCAGGACTTGTGAGAAACCCAGAGTGCCTGGAGAGTACAGGTCGGGGAGAGGAAACTGTAAAGGAAAGGAGGCACCAAGGACGAGTTTCACCTGCTGAACAATTTTGCTTTGGGCAGATTAGTTTCACCCTGCCTAATAGTAGTGGCTCAGTGGTTCAGCGCTCGGCTGGTAACTGAAAGGTTGGTGATTCGAACCCCCAGCCGCTCCACTGGAGAAAGATGTGGCAGTCTGCTTCCATAAAGATTACAGCCTTGGAAACTCTATGGAGGCAGTTCACCTCTGTCCTGTAAGGTCGCTATGAGTTGGAATCCAACGGCAATGGATTTGGTAGTAAAGCTAGAAGATCCCTGGGGGATGCAAGTGGTTTGCTCTTGGCTGCTAACCTAAAGGATGGTGTCTCAAACCCACCCAGTACTCCATGGGAGAAAGGCCTGGCGATCTGCTTCTGTAAAGATTGTTGTTGTTGGGTGCCATTGAGTTGATTTTCAACTCACAGTGACCCCATGTGACAGAGTAGAACTGCCCCTTGGGTTTTCTAGACTGTAATTTTCTAGGAAGAATGATCTGTTTGTCTACTTCTAAAAAAATTGGCCAGTGAAAACCTCACGAATAGCAGCAGAACACTGTCTGATATAGTGCTGGAAGATGAGTCCCTCAGGTTGGAAGGTGCTTGAGAGATGACTGGGGAAGAGCTGCCTCATCAAAGTAGAGTCAACCTTAATGATGTGGATGTTGTCAAGGTTTTGGGGCCTTCATTTGCTGATGTGGCACAACTCAAAACGAGAAGAAACAGCTGTAAACATCAATTAATAATCAACATAGAATGTACGAAGTATGAATCTAGGAAAATTGAAAATTGTCAAAAATGAAATGCATAAACATCCATATCCTAGACATTAGTGAGCTGAAATGGACTAGTATTGGCCATTTTGAATCAGACAATCATATGGTCTACTATGCTGGGAATGACAGCTTGAAGAGGAATGGCATTGCATTCATCATCAAAAAGAACATTTCAAGATCTATGCTAAAGTACAGCGCTGTCAGTGATCCATACACCTACAAGGAAGATCAGTTAATGCAACTAGTATTCAAATTTACCCACCAACCACTAAGGCCAAAGATGAAGAAATTGAAGATATTTACCAATTTCTGCAGTCTGATATTGATCGAACATACAATCAGGATGTATTGATAATTATCGGTGATTGGAATTTGAAAGTTGGAAAATATGGCCTTGGTGATAGAAACAATGCCGGAGATCACAGAATTTTGCAAGACCAACGACTTCTTCATTGCAAATAACTGTTTTCAACCACATAAACCACTATTATACACGTGGACCTCGCCAGATGGAATACACAGGAATCAAATAGACTACATCTGTGGAAAGAGACGATGGAAAAGCTTAATATCATCGGTCAGAACAAGGCCAGGGGCCAACTGCAGAACAGACCATCAATTGCTCGTATGCAAGTTCAACACAAATTGTTTCATGTCATTGGCTGCAATCCTGCGTTGTGTCTGCACTCTCTCCCATTCCCTTTCCATCCTGGGTTCTGTGTGTCCATTAGTCCAGTTTTTCTGTCCCCTTCTGCCTTGTTATCTTTGTTCCTGGGCAGGTGTTGCCCATTCGATCTCATATACTTGATGGATCTAAGAAGCAAGTTCTTCACGTGTGTTATTGTTTGTCTTACAGGCCTGCCTAATCTTTGGCTGAAAGGTAAACTTCGAGAGTGGCTTCAAGTTTGAGTTAGAAGGGTATCTGGGGGCCATAGTCTTGGGAGTTCCTCCAGTCTCTGTCAGATTAGTAAGTCTGGTCTTATGAATTTGATAATTTGTTCTGCATTTTTCTCCCGCTCTGTCTGGCCCCCTTTATAGTAATCCCAGTCAGAGCAGTTAGTAATGGTAGCCGGGCGCCATCTTGTTCTTCTGATCTCAGGGTTGTGTGGGCTGTGGTTCATTTCCTTTGCCCATTTTTTAATTGGGTTATTTGTTTTTTTTGTTGTTGTTGTTGTTGCTGTTGAAGTGCTGAAGTTTTCTATAAATTTAGAGATTAGACCTTTGTCAGGTATGTCATAGCCAAAATTTTTTGCCAATCTGTAGTTTCTCTTTTTACTCTTTTGGAGAAGTCTTTTGTTAAGCAAAAGTTTAATTTTTAGGAGGTCCGATTTATCTAGTTCATTTTCTTCTGTGTGTGCATTTTTAGTTACGCTTGGTAATATATTTATGCCAGATATTAAGACCCCTAACGTTGTCCCTTCAAAGGTGTCAAGGGCGCCTTTGAATTATGGTGTTGGTGAAGAATATTGAATATACCATGGACTGCCAAAAGAACGAACAAATCTGTCTTGGAAGAAGTACAGCCAAAATGCTGCTTAGAAGCAAGGATGGCAAGACTATGTCTTACATACTTTGGACATGTTATCAGGATGATCAGTCCCTGGAGAAGGACATCATGTTTGGTAAAGTACAGGGTCAGTGAAAAAGTGGAAGACCCTCAACAAGATGGATTGACACAGTGGCTGCCACAATGGGCTCAAGCATAAAAACGATTGTGAGGATGGTGCAGAACTGGGCAGTGTTTCGTTCTGTTGGACATAGGTTCGCTATGAGTCAGAACCAACTCGACGGCTCCCAACAACAACAACAGCATTGTCCCTGATTTTTCCTCTGTGATCTTTATAGGTTTAGGTTTCATGTTTAGGTCTTAGGTTCGTTTGAGTTAGTTTTTGTGTATGGTATGAGATATGGAGCCTGTTTCATTTTTTCTACAGGTGATATCCAATTTTGCCAGCACCATTTGTTGAAGAGACTGTCTCTTCCTGACCATTCAATAACCTTTGGTCCTTTGTCAAAGATCAGCTATCCATAGGTAGATGAATTTATGTCTGGGTTCTCTGTTTTATTCCACTGGTCTATGTGTCTGTTGTTGTACCAGTACCAGGCTGTTTTGACTACTATGCCTGTATAGTAGGTTCTGAGATCAAGGTAGTATGAGGCCTCCTACTTTTTTCTTCTTTTTTAATAAGGCTTTACTTATTCGAGGCCTCTTTCCCTTCCATATAAAGTTTGTGATTAGTTTTCCACCTCAGTGAGGAATGCTGTTGGGATTTGGATAGGGATTGCATTATATCTATATATTGCTTTGAGTAGTACTGACATTTTCATAATGTTAAGTGTTCCTATCCAAGAGCATGATATGTTTTTCCATTTACGTAGGTCCCTTGGTTTCTTGCAATAGTGTTTTGTAGTTTTCTTTGTATAAGTCTTTTACACCCCTGGTTAGATTTATTCCTAAGTATTTATCTTTTGGGGGGTGTCTGATAGATTTTTAAAGTTCCTTCTAGCACTATGATTTCGTGGCCCTGGTGTCGCAAATGGTTAAGTGCTCAGCTGCTAACTGAAAGGTTGGCGGTTCAGACCCACCCAGTGAATCTGGGGGAGAAAGACATGCTGATCTGCTTCTGTAAAGATTACAGCCAAGGCGTCTGGGGTCTTAAAAGCTTGCAAGTGGCCATCTAAGATGCATCAATTGGTCCCAACCACCTGGAGTGAAGGAGAATGAAGAACACCGAAGACACAAGGGAAGAATTAGCCCAAGAGACAGAAACGGCCACATAAACCAGATACTTCATCAGCCTGAGACCAGAAGAACTAGATGGTGCCTGGCTACCACCAATGAACGTCCTGACAAGAAACACAACAGAGAGTCCCTGATGGAGCAAGAGAAAGGTGGGGTGCAGAAATCAAATTCTAGAAAAAAGACCAGACTTAATGGTCTGACTGAGACTGGAGGAACCCCGGAAAGCATGACCACTGGATTCTCTGTCAACCCAGAACTAAAACAATTTCTGAGGCCAACTCTTCAGACAGGGATTGGACTGGACTGTGAGACATAAAGTGATTCTTGTGAGGAGTGCGCTTCTTAGTTCAAGTAGATACAAGAGACTGAATGGGCAGCTTCTGTCCGGAGGTGAAATGGGAAGGCAGAGAGGGTTAGGAGCTCATTGAATGGACATGGGAAATCAGGGGTGGATAGGAGGACTGTACTGTCACAGTATAGGGAGAACAATTAGGGTCACATAACAATGTATGTATAAATTTTTGTATGGGAAAAAAATTTTTAAAAAAAGATTACGGCCAAGAAAACCCCATAGGGCAGTTCTACTCCATGACATGGTGTCACTGTGTGTTGAAAAAGACTTGATGGCACCCAACAACAACAATCTCTAAGGAAAATGTTCACTGATGCACAGCCCTCACTTCTAATTTGATGTGATTTAGATTGCAAAGTTAGAGCTGATGTTGGATGCAGAGCCCTGTGTGGGTACCACAGTGATTTTTCAAAACCGCAAACCTCATCGTAGCTGTTGGCACTGAAACGAGTCTTAATTCATCTCACCTTCTATTCAATTACAGATAATCTTTAGATGGTGGAAGATCTCTCTAAGGAGTGAGTATCGAGCAGCAAAACCCGGAGAAACCAAAGAAAGTCATGAAGACTTCCTAGAGAATTCACATCTTCAAGGCAAGGAAGGGGACAGGACATATTATGGGATGTATTATGTACTTACTGTTTCAATTCTTTAATCAATGATAGATTCTGCCAGAGGAGTATCAAATATATGGTCATTTCAAATAGTGATATGGAATTACGTATTAGAAATAATAGAACGTTGGGTTCTTAGAAAAACAGAGAGTGTTAACATATCCTAGATTTCTTTTGGGAAATATCTTGACATATTTTTGATTCCAGGTCTATATATGGATTCTATTAATAAGGTTAAATTATGTAAGTATAATTTCATTACCATGAGTTTCTTTTAGTTTAGAAATAAAAAGCCACTTGAAAACATAATCAAATGATCAAATACTTGAACCCTTATGCATCTTGGCATTCATTAAGAGTACTACCTCTACTATCTTAATAACAGGGTTTGCTTGGGAAGTAGTCTTAATTACTTAGCACTGTGGACTTAATAAAGGAAGTTTCCCTCCAATTTCCCCCTTTGTTTTTTTTTCTTTCCTAATATGAAAATCCATACCGTAAAGAGGAAACACATGTTTTAACAAGCGCCAATGTAGCCATAACCCAGCTCCGACAAGACTCAAAATGGGGCCAAAACCTATAACCACAGTTCCCGCTAGATTATTTTGAGGCAAATCCCGATTGTTTACATCATTCCATCCTCAACTACTTCATTATGAATCTGTAAACGATAAGGATTCCTTTTTTAACATAATTACAATACCATTTTGAAACCTAAACTCTTTAATAATAACTCCTTAATAATATTTTATAATTAGAAGTCACCTTAGAGATTCTTATTTTATTAGGAATAATTAACAATGTTAGTAATATTAATAATAACAAGTACTTTCACATACATATTCTCATTTCATTGCCACAATAGGCTTGTGAAATTAATATTATTATCTCTGTTTCACAAATAAGATTCAGAAAGGATGTGACTTTCCAGAGTCTCCCAGCTGAATACTGACCTTGCCAGGACTAAGCATTGAAATCAATTATATTTAACGTTGGAGCCCTGGTGGTGCAGTGGTTAAGCATTTTGCTGCTAACCAAAAAGTCATCGGTTCGAGTCCACCAGCCACTCGTTGGAAATCCTGTGGGGCAGTTCTGCTCTGTCCTGTAGGGTCGCTATGAGTCGGAATCCACTAAATGGCAACGAGTTTGGTTTTCTGGTTATATTTAATGTTATTTTTAAAAGGCATACTCTGGGTGAATCTTTGATAATCAACACCCTTAAAAACATTTGCTTATTTAACCTTACAGCTTGTAATAGTTGGTCTTTTCAGGAGGAGAAGGTTTTGTTTTGCTTTTCCTTAAATAGCTAACAGTCTGGATTGATGATGGTGGTAGAGTAATTTGGGAAAAGATAGTGACAAAGGTTGTACAACATGAAGAATGTAACAATGTCACTAATTCTGCATGTGGACATTGTTGAATTGGTGAAGGTTCTGTTGTGTATATTCTCACCACACACACACACAAAGGCCTGGATTGATTGCCCAAAATCCCTGACAATGACACATCTTATTTTGTTCACTCCTTTATAGCAAGTATTTATAAAACTTGTTTATGGCCTTAAAAAGAACCATCTAGAGGAAAGACTGTCCACTTTTCATTGACTAGAACTCACTCCAAGCACGCTCTACTTATTTAATTGTAAAATAGGCCTGTTTCCGCATCGACAACTATAAAGTAAACTTGTATAAAACATGTTTCATTCTCAAGTTAGGATCCATTTTCTTTTCAAATCACTGTAACAGCCACCCTAGAGCCATATGTCTAGTGAGTGCTGAATATGAATTGACGGACCATATAATTTTCTGATTGACTTCCACATAAACCTGAAGATGGCTGTTTGGACCAGAGAGGTAGGAGGTGAAGGCCAGCAATTATCTTCTGAGGGCAGGCTTAAGATACCAGAGGGGTGGAGGGCTTCATTAGCTTCAGGATTGCCACTTGTGGATTTCTTGATAAAACGAGGCAATAAAGCACAAATTTTATGAGCTTTTAGGGCTCAGGCCTGCCTCTCTGCTGGCCCCCTCCTGCCTGGAGAGAAGGGGCATCGAGGGGTCCAGTCGGGCAGGTAAGTTCAAGGAGTCTGCTCAAGGAGACTTTAAACTGCAGTTGGAGAGCCCAGTCTCAGGACTGCCCGGTGGCCTCCCGCCAGGAGCAGCACTGTGATCCTGAAATAAATCAGCCTGGGGAGTTCAAAGGCTCCTGTGTCTTAGTTCTAGACTTCCCACAACATTGGAGTCCTCCTAGCAGAGGGGAAAACTCCAAACACCACTGTTGTTAGTCACTCTCTTCCTCCTTCAGTTCTCAGGGAGTGTCCTTCAGAAAGCCTGCTCCCTCCAGCTGAAGACTGGCTCATTGTGGCCCAGCGCCTGGGCTGGGGTCATCAGCCAGGGTTCAAGTCTCTGTGCTGCCACTGGCCAGCTGTACGGCCACAGGCTCATGACTCATCTCAGTTCTGTGAGTCAGTTTCCTCATCCTTAAATGGTGATAATCATTTACTCTACGTGGCCTTTGTGAGCAGTAACCGGCCTGATTTGTCCAGTATTTAGAACTGTTCATGGTACACAGTAAGCTGTTAATCACTCTTTTGTTGTTGTTAAGTACATGATGTTTGACCAGATTTATTCTTTCCCATCCCTTCTTGGCCATATTCCTAAAAATTCCCCAAAAGGTTTTCTCACCCCAAGCTCCTCTCCCTCTGATATGCTAACCTGGTGGCAACATGTCTCTAGATATCTGGGTCACCCTTGGTAGCAGTCCTGGCAGAGGATAAGCACTGTATCACCCTGCTTCCTCAGCCTCTTAGCAGTACTTATCTCAGTTGTGATGTTTTCTTCTCCTGGCTTCCTGTCTCTTGGTTTTCCTCCTACCTCACTCGTCCCTTCTCAGTTGGCTTTGCTATCTACCTCCCCATCTCTCCAACTGTAAATTTTGGGCCCCAGGACTTAGTGCTTGGGCCTCTTCTCTGTCTGTATTTACTACTCCATGGGGGATTGGATCCAGTCTCTGGTTTTAAATACTACCCATAAATGGGCAAATCTCAATTTGGGCTCTCCAGCTGGGACCTCTCCCTAACTTCCACACTTACATATTTATCTAGCTGCCCCCTTGGCATGTCCACTCAAGGATCTAATAGGATCTCAAACTTAAGGTATCCAAAAATAGCTCCTGATCTACTCCCTGCCCAAAGAAAAAGCCAGGCCAAAAATCCTGAAGCTATCCTTGACTCCTTTCCTTCTCTTACACACAAGATCCCGTCCAATAGCAATACCAGAATCTCAACTGTATCTCAGTTTCTAGACTTCCCAAAACACCGGAAGTGCCCCTGGCAGATTCCAAGATGGCCCCATGAGCCCCACCTCCCTGTATTCATACTCTGTGTAGTACCCTCCCACATTGTAGCAGGGTTGATCTGTGTGAGCAGTCAAATTCAGCAGAATTGATCGTATGTCACTTCCAAGATTAGGTTGTAAAAAATACTAAGGCCTCTATCATGGCCCCCCTCTTTCTCTCTGTCTCTCTTTGATCACTCGCTCTGGGGAAAGCCAGCTGCCACAACTTGAAGGTACTGAGGCAGCCCTGTGGAAAGCCTCATGTAGTGAGGAACTGAGGCCTCCAGCCCACAGCCATGTAATCAAGCTTTCTTAGAGGTGGATCCTCCAGTCTCAGATAACACAGCCCGGCATCTTGACTACAACCTCATGAGATACTCTGAGGCAAAGCCACCACCTGAGCCACTCCTGGATTCTCGACCCTCAGAAACTTTGAGCGAATAAATATTTGTTGTTGTAAGCCAGTAAATTTGGGGGTAATTTGTTACATAGCAGTAGATAACTAATACATGAACACTTCTCACCAACTTCACTTCTGGTCCGGCAAACTACTAACTCTCTCCCAGATTATTGAAATAATCTAGCTGGTTTCCCTCTTCCCATCCTTGCACCCCAATAGTTTGCTCTCAGCACAGCAGCCAGAATCATCAGGCAATGGGTTTGGTTTGGGGGGCTGGGGGTTAGGCTACATAAAGAAGTACCCAATTCTCCTAGGATACAAGGAAAAGATTAGTCCAAAGGACTGATGGACCACAGCTACCAAGGCCTCCACCAGACTGAGTCCAGTACAGCTAGATGGTGCCCAGCTACCACCACTGACTGCTCTGACCACGATCACAACAGAGGGTTCTGGACAGAGCTGGAGAAGGATGTAGAGCATAATTCTAACTCAAAAAAAAAAGACCAGATTTACTAGCCTAAAGGAGACTGGAGAAACCCCGAGAGTATGGCCCCCAGACACCCTTTTAGCTCAGTGGTGAAGTTATCTCCAAGGTTCACTGTTCAGCCTGGGAGTGGACAGCCCCGTAAAACCAAATGGGACTAATGAGGTACAGGAGTCCAGTGACAAGAGCCAGAAAGCAGAAGGGGACAAGGAAGCTGGTGATAGGGAACCCCAGGTTGAGTAAGGAGATTGTTGATGTGTTGTGAGATTGTTAACCATTGTCATAGGGCAACATGTGTAGTAACTGTTAAATGAGAAACTATTTTGTTCTGTAAGCGTTCGTTCATCTTAAGTGAGAATAGCAGCACAATTGGAAGAGCGTAGTCAATGTCACTGAACTGTGCATGCAGAAATTTTTGAAATGGTGTATCTTTGGCTATGTATATTTTCACCAAAAAAAAGTTGAGAAGTTAGAGGGTTGACATGTTGTGGGGTTGTTAACCAATGTAATAAAACAATATATGTACTACTGTTTCATGAGAAACTTATTTGTTCTATAAGCCTTCACCTAAAGTACAATAAAAAATAAATAAAAAAATAAAAAAGTACCCAATTCTCATCAAAGACCATATGGTATTCCATTGTACAAATATACAATCCTCAACTGATATTTTCAGATTGTCTCTAGTGCTTTGCTGTTCTTACCAAATGGTTAGGTATATTCTGGGACTTATTTATCTTTGCCCACTTCATGAGACTATCAG